TGGTTTTGGATCAAGCGGAGGAGCACCATTGCTCCAGCATCATGGTTATTTGGGTTTCTGAGCTCTGTTCAAAGTGGGTTTCTAGCAATTATGTTTTGCTTCTTTTCTGCTCTACTTTTTCACTGGGCAGCGAAGGTGATTCATACTGAAACTCTTCACTGCTGATAAAGAGCACAAATTATGAATGAAAATGAAAACATGTGACTCACATTTTCAGTGTGCTTGTGATATAAACACTGTAATGAGGAAATGGAAAATACCTGTAATGGCTATCTTTGCTTTTTAAATTAAAAAGCAAGTGCAAAAAAGGACATCCCCCATACATCCTCAAAAAATGGATTTGAAATATTTTGGAGAAATCTGTAGTAATCATTATTTTATGCAGAAGTTGATTTCTAAGCAATCTGTCTAATAGCAACTACAGGAGAAAAAGGAAGTACGCTGAGAAATGGCCTTATTGTTTTTGTTTCTTAGCTGTAGTTCTTTTCACTCTTTAAGATGTATCTTATTTAATACTGTTGAGTATTCAATATAGAATATTAGTCTGAAATGTTGCCCTCTGGGCACAGTTTAGATTGGGAAAGTTTAGATTCAGTTCACATGTGCTGACCTGCTAATAATATTCATATTAAAAGAAAAACTCAGGCTGAACATTATTTTCCTTGACTAGGATCCACTATGTAGCATGTGCAGCAGCTTGGTGCAAGTTATTAACTAGAAAATATCAGTCAAAAGTAGCTGTTTTGAATTCCAACTCTTTAAATGGACACTGGCAACTAATTGTCCAAAATAAGTGTTTTTAATTAAAATATTTTTCTGCCTTTTAGTGAGTCCAAATACATATTATTGTGCTATTATATGAAAATCAGACAGTGGAACCTAGTTAGAGTGATTATTTAAAGATGTAAAGGGGGAGATGGAGATATTATGAAAATCTTTGGATAAACAGGGAAGATGACAACCCTGATTCTTAGGCTTGGTCTATCCTTAAAAAGTTTTACTGGTGTAACTATGCTGGTGTGTGATATTTTACCAGTATAGTTATGCCAGTAAAAGCGTTGGTGTGGCTGTAGTTATACCGGTATAACTTATTTTGCTTTGCTGAACTGGAATAAGGCCATGTCTGCCCTACAGACTTGTGCTGGCATAGCTTTACAGTCAGGTGTGTGAAAAGGTGTAATCCCTGACTGACATAGCTCTGCCCCCAGAAGTCTGTAGTGTAGACACCGCCTGTACTAGGAAAAAAATGAGATTTTCCTGATATAGATTGTACAGATGTACAGATTGTACAGCAGCCGGGGACATTAGAACTTGTCTTAGTGAGAAGAAATGATCTATCCATCCATCACCTTTTCGATCTTTCTGTTTTCATATATGCCTGCCTGCTTTCTGCCTCTCTATCACCATATATAATCCTCTGCCTATTTATCATGTAGTATATTTGTACTATACCAGTACAAGCATAACTTTGTTGATGTAGCTGCATGCACACTAGGTGTGCTTTGCCAGTATAGGAATACCGGTATATTATATTGGTAAAGTAATCCTAGTGTAGACATAGCCTAAACTATATCAGTCTAAGCACTTTCCTATGGGTTTAACTGCTGGTATACTGGGGGTGGGGTTTGTCTGTTTAACTATGCCAGCATAGGTAGTGTCAAAACTTAAGTGTAGAGAAGGCTTTGGAGAGTACTGGTTTTCCCAAGGTTTTCTGTGTCTAGTAGGACTGATACTTGGGCTTACAAGTGAAATTGACCCATCTAGTTCTATTATACAGGCGTAGCAACAATGTAATTAATAAGGATTTCTAAGATATGTAACAAATCTATCTAAAGTGGCAGGACATAGAGTTGTAAAACTATAGCAATGTCGTGTAACCCTTCTGCCCGTCAGAGTTGGCAGCAACAAGGGCCAGGTTCAGTATCTAGGGGTTCCGTTTCAATAACACAATGCAAAACCAGCTCGAGCCCCCACCCAGTGACTTGGGACAATTACATACCACCCCCCAGGCAATACTAAGCGGCAGTACTTCCCCTCTCGCAAGCACAGAGTCTGAGAGTAACAAAAACCTTTTAATAAAGGAGGGAAACAGTGCAGCATTATGTTGGGGAAACACCACAAACAGGATTCATAACACCAACCATGAGCAAAAGACCCACCCCCAAGTAAGTTTGGCAGTGACCTTTTCCCCTCAGGCTCTTAAATCCAGCAACCCACTAGTCACCCCCCTCCCACTGTTCTTGGTCAGTGCAGCCCCCCCAGAGTTCAGAAATTCATCTGCAGAGTTTACCTCCCAGCCTGGGTGAAAGTGGAGGGAGGTATGGGGGGCATCTTACATGCTCTGCTGCTCGGGTCAATGGCCAAGTGCCACGCCTCTCCATGGGGTTCTGCTGCAGTCTTCACCACCAGCTGCGCCTGTCCATCAGCTGCCCTGCTATCCACTCCACTCCGTGCCTCTCCACTGGCTGTCCGCTCCTCTCCGCCAGCCGCCCAGCTATCCACTCCACTCTCTGCGCTAGCCGTCCTGCTGTCCGCTGACCAACTTGTCTTCATGTCCCTCCCACTTAACCCAGCTCTCAGCAACTTCACCAATTTCAGCTCTCAGTGATTTTTAGCTGGTAGTAGGGGGAGCCTCAGGGCTGGTGCACCACTAGCCCAAAGTAGGTCTAATGCTTAGACCTAGGTGTCAGTGATTTCAGCTCTGCAGGATGTAACAAGGCTCCTAATGGAGCCAAAATTAGCTCTGTTATTACACCATGGAGAGAGGAGGCATCAAAGTAGTGTTTGGGGCCCATACTACCAGGTACACATACCTGTCCCCAGCCTCTTTCAATTCCCTGGGTTTTGGAACCCCTTGTCCCTTGCCTAGCGAGTGCTACGTAGTTGAGGGCGAGTCCCTCCATCATAAAATGCCAAGTACAGTTCTACTGTCCTTGATTCACATAGGATAACAACACTTTATTACTCCTGCTCCAATAACAGAGAGACTGATCCGACAGCAGCCAAAGTGACCATTTGGGCAAGCAGTCCATCATGCTAGGCAGGGTGGGTGTGCCCATGCAAACAAGAGTGCCCATGAAAACAAGATCAGCCCCTGAAATCCTTTTCCACAGCTCACCACCAGATATCAGGGTAGAGCTCATTCTGACTCTGCTTTCAGTCGCATAAACTTTTATAAGTTAATTTTGCTTTGTAAATGTAAAGGTATTAAAACTAATAACATTTTGTCTAGAGATGAGCATGCTGTCTGCGTATAGTCAAATCATGGATTCTGACCATAAAGTTGGTAGAGATAGGTAGTACTGCAAAGGTGATGGCATTAGCTCTCTGTGGCCTGTTCTATACAAAATGTAAGACTAGGAGAAATATTTCCATGTGTTGTGTTTTTGGTTTGAAATTTCAGTGGAAACCCTCCCTCCCCCCAAAAACAAACAAACAAAAAAACCCAACCATTCTTCTGCAATTCAATTACAGGGTCAAAATTTCCTACTGTTGCATTCTGCCTTTGGTAGCACCACTAGATGTAGTTGAGACAGGTCTCTTATTTTCACCTCCATGTTGCCTAAACCTGTTCAGAGTAGACTGGCATGTTGGTTAGATGATGTGCTGGTAAAAGTGCTGAAGGCCTGTGTACACTGCAACCTTTGCAGCTGCTGCAACAGTAATGAATTGCAAATCATGAATTTGCCAGTGTAGATACAGGCTATGAGGGGGATGGGTGTGGAGATGAGCAAAGTCTTGTTAAGAGTGATACCTGAAGGTTAAGATCAACATTAATAGAGTCCTGAAGTTAAGCCCTCTACCCAGGAAGGCTTGCATGATACAAGTTGTATTTGTAAAAAAGTGAATGGTTGGCATGGAAACAAAGCCTTCATAGAGTTACCCTTAATTTTATGACCCAGTCAGGTTCTCCCTTCCTGGAATGTCCTACTCCATTGAATCTTTACTGTTGGGGTTTGTCCCCTAGGTCAGTAATATAGTATGGGGAAACCTAGCCATACGGAACTGGCCAAAATGAGAGAACTGCAAACAAAATGTTATGCAAACAGACTTGAGAGGATAACAATACAACTATGTTCTCCTTTCTTCAAGCTGGGGAAACATTTATTTAAGGTGACTTGTCCTGTGGACAGCCTAGTTATCATAACTTTTTGCTTGTTTGTTTTTTTAGTAGCTCAAATGAGGTCTCTTTTAAAAAAAATAACTCGTGTCCTTCCCTCGAAAATAAGATGGTCTGAGGTGAGTGTAGAACTTCTGGTAGATTGATCAATTGGTGTATCTGACCTTGGTCTCAGCAAAAAAAACTTGCTGTCTGCTTTGGAAAAGAGCCATTTCCGCATTCTTCACTGGGGTGGGGAGTGTGTGCATAATTAGGTGTACTTTCTCTGAAATATGGCGGGGGCACAAATGTTCATCAGCATCAAAAGTAGAATTTCAAGTAGCAGCTGAGTTGGATGAGCTGCTTCTGCCATTTATTATAAGGAAGCTGGGGCACTAGTTTTCATTTTCTAGTTTTCTGGGCTGTACATACCAGCCAATGCACCTGAGACTACATTCAGGTCTTGCAGCATTCCCAGTAGGCAGAAAGAAATACAATTTTGCTTGTCCTGAGTGAGCATCTGACAACCAAAAACCTGTCTTCCTAGTCTGCTCCCTTCACTCTCATGCATGAAACCATGAACTGGTAATGTATATTGTATAGTCAACAAGTGTGTGTCTGGTGTAGTGTGTGCTGTTCAGCTGCCTGTACTGTATTAGTTAATTTTTACAGCAAGCTTGCATTTTTCTCTACATATCAAGTGTTTAATTTGTGGCATTTTTGTACTTGTCTAGTGGTCTGTCAGGTCACAAACCACAAATACAAAATTGTTTTGGCTTTGACATTTAAACTTTTCTTTTATCAGGAAATAATTATTTTCACTGCTTTAATATCAGCTGACTGCCTGATACAGACATTGGCAAATGGATTAGATAATTTGAATAATCTTTTTTTTCCACAGCTGCTTTCCCTTTTGGCCTTCATCCTTGAAGAAATTGTGGAGAGTTGTATCCTGTGTGGTGGGCTTTACTTCTTCGAGTTTATAAGTTTCAGTGCCACCTTTCTGAGTATCCTGATACTGACTGTATATTGCACCTCTGCGTATGAAAAAGTTGAGAAGGATAAATTAATCAAATTGGTAAGGAACTGCTTTATCATTATTTTCACTTCTAAATTTTAAGGTGTTTTTTGTTAAAGCAATTTAAATTACATAACTGTTCTGTCCAGACAAGATACACTATTTGTTAACAAGACTACACAATGTTAACTGAGTTACCTTCTTTATATTAGCAACTATTTACACATTTTCACATTGGCTACGGTGAGATACAGAGTTTCAGCTCTGGGCTGTGGAACTGGAAAGCTGACTGCTGGTTCTAAACCTGGGATAAAAGACCCAGGGTTCAGACCAAAGCAGGTGTTTCTCCTCTGTGTGCCCCTTAACTAGCTGAGTGGCATAAAAGAGCGTGAAGAAAGGGGTTAAAACTGCTTGAAAAATCACTTGACAAAATGAGTCCTATGCCAGTGAATCTCCTCCCTGCATATTACTGTGGGTGAGGGAAGGCACAGTGCATTTCAGTATTTTCCAATGTTATCTATCCGGACATACAGTGAAGATTCTTATGTGTGATAAGAAAAGGAGTACTTGTGGCACCTTAGAGACTAACCAATTTATTTGAGCATGAGCTTTCGTGAGCTACAGCTCACATCCGATGAAGTGAGCTGTAGCTCATGAAAGCTCATGCTCAAATAAATTGGTTAGTCTCTAAGGTGCCACAAGTACTCCTTTTCTTTTTGCGAATACAGACTAACACGGCTGTTACTCTGAAACCTGTCATTATGTGTGATAATAGGTTTAGTTAAGGATCAATAAGCATGTTTTATTTAACACAAGTTCTCTTGAGCATGTGTGTGCATCTCTTTTGTTACAGCTAAGTTTAATACACTTTTAAGTCTGCAAGGAACCATTATGAACAACTAATCTGACCTCCTGCATAACACAGGCCACATGATTTCACCCTGTAATTCCCATGTTTGCATTTCTGACTCTGCAGGTGATTGTCATGTCTGTTTCAAGATCATTTTTGTAAAGCAAGTTGAGATTCCTTTGGTATGAAAGGCTATAGATAGAATCAAATTCTGTTCCTAAAAGGGCTTTCCTGTGTTTTCTCATCTCTGATATCTAAAACAATAAGTGCAGGTTTTTCCTCTGGTATTGCATTAAGTAAAAATCAGTAAAGGGGAATGTAACAGGCTACAGACTCACCCAGTGGCGCCTCCTGCTGGCCATCTGGGAATTAGCTCTTTTTATCAGTTCCGGAGCACCCTCTGCTGGTGTCTCACTGTTGCTGGCCTGTGTCCCTCCCAGACCCCAGTGCCCTTTTACCTGGAGTGTTGCCCCTCCAGGCAGTACCCCAGAGATCTGGGTCTCCCCTCCCTGGGGAACCCTCCACCCTCTATCCCCACCTTGCCTCAACCTATGGGCTACTGCCAGTCACCATCTAATCCCCTTTCACTGGGGCCAACTGCAGTCCGTATAAGCCAGTCATCATGGGCAAGGGGGGTTTGGACCTGCTGCCTCTGCCTAACCTTGGGGTGCCCTGTTGCAACCCCAGTACCCTGTCTTAGGCTGTCTGCCAGGCCTGCAGTTTTTCCAGTCTGGAGCCTCCCAGCTCCTCTAGCCTTCCCCAGCTCTGCTTCACCTCAGGTACCCTGGTACGCTCCCCAGCAGCCAGGCCCATCTCTCTCCACAGCTAGAGGAGACTGTGTGCTCTTGGCCCACTGCCCTCTTATAAGGGCCAGCTGGGCCCTGATTAAGCTGGGCGTGGCCCCCAGCTGAGGCTGTTTCTCCCAATCAGCCCCACTTTTCCTTCTCTGCCACAGCCCTCTCCCTGGGCTTTTTTGAGGCAGGAGTGGGTGACCACCTGCTACAGGGAAGAACAAGTCAGAACTCACAAAATGTGAGACCAGGAGAAATATTTCCATGTGGTTTTGTTTGTTTGTTTTTTGTTTTTAAATTTCAGTGGAAACTTTTTTTTTTTTTTCCAAAAAACAAACATTCTTCTGCAACCCAAACATGGCAACACTGAGAACCTGTAGTGAAAAGTAAATTAGATTATTAAAACTGGGAATTTTTTTAATCTCTTGTGCTAGTGGCATGGGTAATGTGTGTTTAATGAGATTTTTTTTAAAAGTGACTATGTCCTTTTCAATTAAAATATAAATGAGTAGTCTCCATCACACATGAATACACATACCCATCTGAAACTCGTTCTACCTCCCTTTCTGGTTCCTTTACCAACCAGTGCCTCCACTAGTTTGTAATTTTCTCTTTTTTTTTAATGATTGCAGGATTTCTGGGTCACTACAGTAGTGGGAGTTCTCTTTTTTGTAGCTTCCATTGTGTTTGCTGCAACCAGTGACAAGTCATCTGTTGAAACTGTTGCAATTGTAAGTATGTGAAAACACTCCAGACTCCATACTGTGTTAAACCTTCAGCTCATGGTTTAGAGGAAGGGAAGCTCTGGCCAGGTTGTGGGCAGAAAACAGAAGGCAATGCATTTGTTGAGATAAGGATGCAGGAAGAGGTGGCTACCTTAGGGCTCCTAAGACCTGGTACATAAATCTCTGCTACAACAGAGTGTGGGAGATCCACATGATGGGCACATTCTCTAGCTGTGGTCTTCATAAGGTTTGCTGGAAGCTCGGTGCCCCCTAGGAGCTCCATAATATTGTGGATGCTGGGAAAAGCTCTTAGTCCCCTCTGTTAGCTTTGCAACCTTGGCCCTATATTTTCTGACCCCTCCCTGGGTCACTGTCCTCATTTCACCCTTCCTTCTGACCTTGGCCCTCAAGGTTCTACACCTTTTCTCTCAGACTCACCAGTTTTGTTCTTGCTTTCTCCACAACAAAGAGACACCCGTGACTGGCCCATGCTAGCTGACTCAGGCTCGCAGGGCTTGGGCTGCGATGCTGTTTCACTGCTGTTTAGATGTCTGGACTCGGGCTGGAGCCCATGGTTTTGGGACCAGATGAGCTGAGGCTAGAGGTGGAGAGGGAATGAGGCTGGGCTGGAGACAGAGCAGGGTTTGGAGCGGAGCTGCGGCGGAAATCAGAGCTGGGCTGAGCAGGGCTGGGCAGCGCTCCCTCCCTCCCGCCCCCCGAATGTTCCTCCACGCCGCACACCACAGTTTGGGGACCACTGTCCTAGGGACTCTAGAACATTCTCATAAAGGATGAGTGGGTAGTGGTAACAGACATACAGCTGGGGAGTCAGTTATAGCAGGGAGGGCACTTGCAGAGTTCAAGTGTGCAGAATATTCAGAGCATCTAGGAAGCAATATGGTACCAGAAATAGTTAGACGAGCAGCAGGGCATGTACCTCACAAGGAACACTGGATGTTCGGCAGTTCTGGGATTCATGTGGAGAAGTCATAGTGTTTCGCTTCTCCAGCACACTTTTTAAAGAGTCTCCATATTATTGCTGTGGTAAATTATAAAGCATCAAAATGAAAGAACATTCTTCTTGAATAAAGATTCATTAGAAAAGTAAAGAACTCTTATCCTATAATCAGAATGATCTTAGAATTTACAGGAAGAATATGTTTATCTTCTGTAATATTCATTTGTGTCACAAACATTAACTCAGACACTTTCATGGCTCCTCGCTCCCTCCCTCCCCCCAGAAATGGAAGAATTCTGGAGATGGAAGAATTCTTTCACTCTTAGATCTAATTGTTTATATTCTATTGTGTTGGCTCAAATCAACTGTATAAAACTATCTTTCTCAAACTTCACAGAATCCCGTTAATGCTCAGGCACCAGTTTGACTCATTTTTAGTTGGCCTTGACTATATCTCTACTGTGCTACTACCTCACCTAACACTTTAAAAAAAAAAATAGCATTAATGTCTGCTTCTAAGCTAGTATGTAAAAAGTTTTTACTCTGAATTCCTTGCAGTCAAACAGTAAGGTCCTGTACCATGCACACCTGATCCAAGAAATAAAAACTATATAAGTAAAAAAATATGTCACACTTATGATTTCTGATCTCTTTTTGTTAAGAACTGAACCATTGACTTCAAAAGACTGGAGACTGGCTGTATATAGAAATACTACAGTAAAGCTGGGGTGGGGAGGGGTTGCAGGAAGAAGATTGCTTATTTTCTTGCTTCAGGTTCTCAATCAAAGTTGGAATAATATTAATGTTTATGTATACATTTTAAATAACTGTTTCTTTCACATTCACAGGTGTTTGGCTTTTTCGCAACTATAGGATTTCTAGCTGATGGTATTCACTTTTTTATGGAGAATCGTAAAGTGAAGGAAAATAAAGTGGAGAACACTGGCAACACACAGAACACACCAGAAAATCAGCCGCTGAATAACTAAAGCTGAACTTTAAAAAAGTCCTTTAATTTCTATGAGTTAAATTAATCAAGGTGAAATACTTTAATTTCCCTACTTATTCCACTGCATTGAGGGTAACTTTGTCTTCTCTCTCTTTTGCATCTATCCAGCTTTGTACAAGTCTGACCCTATCATAAGCTTTTATAGACTCCTTACGTTTTTTAACAATAGTATGTGGAGCATCAGGGCTTGTACAATTCTCCATCTAACTTGTCCTGACTAATAATTGTCAGAGGGACATTCTAAAAGGAAGAAATTGCCTCCAAATAGATTTTTTTTTTTTTATTTAAACATAAAATAGACATCAGTAACTGAAAGCACTGAGACTTCTGAGAAGAATGACTGTAGTACAGGGGAACTCATCAGGCTTAAATTCTGAGTTATGTTTTAAAAATATTTACATTTTATGTAAATACAGCAGGCCAGAATTAGAAATCTGTTGCATTAATTCACACCTACCTATGTATGTGATATCCAGCTTCTTGCCTCTGATACTAAGAATGAAGTAGTACAATAAAACTCTTTCCTTGTTTTATCGGTTAAACTGTGAATGTAAAAGGGAAACTAAATTTTGCAATCTCATCGAGGTTTCTGTCCCCAAACGAGTCATTCTTTACTTTGATTTTATCTTGTGTGTCTTACTCCGTACTTCTAGATTCTGTTTTGTTTTGTGTCTCTGAAAGTCACTGCTCTTTTTTAAAGGCAGTCGGTAAAACAGATACAGCTAGCTTGTGTGTGTTTGATAGTCAAGTGGTGTATCATAGAGTGACTTTTGCACTCCATATTTGTGGAAGTTTAAAGCTGTAAGTGATGCATTCTTTAAAAATATCGTTAAACCCATTAAAGAAAGAAGAAATTTGAAAATTAAGAGGAAAGGTTAAGAGGCCAATATTTTCAGCCTAGAGGAAAGAAAACTGAGAGGAAACTAACTGCCTGTAAACAGCTAAAGGGATATATTTTAAAAAAAGGGGGCAGGGACCAATTAATCCTTTCAGTTCACGAGGGCAGCACAAAAAGTAATTAGCTTAAGCTTTGCCAGGGAAAGTTTTAACTTAAAAATGAAATAATAAAACTTTGGCACTGTTCCAGTGCACATCACACATACTGTTAATAACATGTACAGTTTGTCCATGTAAAATTGAAGATGAATGGTCATGAAAGTTGATTATTGTTTGTCCTTGCACCTACGTGCAACTCAGTTGATGAATGGATAAATAAGTAAGCAAGCAGTTGTATAAACTTCTAGACTTAAGACAGCAGCCCATGGGATGAAAAGGGAAGCTATTAGTGAGCAGTGGGTTAGGCACAAGCAGTGCAAGGATGCAAAAGACCAGACAGGTTGAGTCACATATGCAAGGCAGTGGTGAAAAGGCATTCTTCAGATGGTTGAAGAGTGGGTTTTTTTGCAGATTGGGGTTTTTTTCTGTGGAGGGGAAAATGAGATTCTTACACCTGCAAGGGTGGGCTATGTAAGCAGGATAAATTGTAGTAAACTTCCAAGAGAGCATGAGGTGCCCAAAAGTAGATATTTAACCAAAAAAAACCCCAAAACTCTGGTATCTTAGAGGCCTTGTTATGTAAAAGTAGTTTATTGTCTGACTTTTCATGACACTTGCCATGTCTTCCATGATTTGAGACTATTAACATCACTTTCCCAAAATGTATTAAGTTAAACCTACAGCCCTTTAAATCATTGAGGCAGCACTGAGACTAAACCCTCTAGGAACGGGTTGTCTTCTACTCTCGCCCTATTTTGAGGACAGAGTAGTAGTTAGGGAGTTAAAGTATTGTAAGTGAAATCAGAGGCTTTTTCTAAGGCTGCTACTTTCTGATGATCAAACATAACATGGTTGTAATGGTGTCCCTTTGTTAAATGTGTCAGCTCCTGAACATTTGAACCTGTTTGTGAAGGAAATCTGACACTAACACTACATTTTGCTGAATATCATCAATCTTTGACTCCATCCTGTTTTGTTAATTTCTCTGCGCATGGTTTTTACTAATTTTTTTTACTTTTTGCATCAAAAGTGGCTATAAGTCTTGATTTTAAATATAAATGTAAAAATAAGCTTGTTGCAATGATATCTAGAATGACTTCCACCAAGAACCCTTTGTTGTTTTGTTAAATTTTATTTTCCCAGTGTGGGGGTTGGCCATGCTTTCCCCAGCATGAAAGTATGTGAAGAGACTCCCCGTTGTCAAAAAAACAATATTTGTGCTTCCTCTGCAGCACTCAGCTCTTGGACAGAGCAGAGTCAATTAACTCTCCAATGTCCTTTATAGAATTAGATAAATTTGTGTTGGAAGAGGTGTGTTAAGTCATCTCTCTGCCATGGTTTCTTATCTCTGTAATAATAAAGTGCATTTGGTACTCACATAGTAAAGTTATAGGCACCAATAGAAGAACCTAGATACATCCCATGATCTCAAAATGCTTTACAAAGAGGGAATAACTACGAAGTTCATTTTTACAGATGAAGAGACTGAAGTACAGAGAGGCCAAGTGATTTTCTGTTATATGGAGTCAGTGCCAGAAGAGTGACTAGAATTCAAGTCTCCTGACTTACAGTCCTATGATCTTACCACTAAACCATGCAAAAATGGAGATACTTATGCACCTTTGTAGAGCACTTTGAGACCTTGATATAAGTAGAAAGTAGCATTCAGTCCACCCCCTTGCTATGTTGGGACCGTTCCCTGCAGCATGTGTTCCTAGTGTGTTGTCCAGCAATGGGGCTTCCACCACTCTCAACAAATGGGTGACCCTCATCTAGATTTGAGTATCAACTTATTTCTTTCTGCAATAAGAGACCAAAAATGCCTTTTTCCAATAGAAAGGGATGAAAAACATTTGTGATCAACTATGTTATGAAAGGGGAATGGATAACGTTTGAAAACTAGTTAGCTCTACTTTCTAATCCGCTATGGGCGGTCTCTAGGAGGTGGCAGGCCCACGACCCTCAAAAGCACACCCAGTTTTTGTCAGACGTGCAGTCTCTCTCGTGTGGCAATAGAGTGCTGCCACTAGACCAGCCTGGACTTAAGAATCATAGAATCATAGAATATAAGGGTTGGAAGGGACCCCAGAAGGTCATCTAGTCCAACCCCCTGCTCAAAGCAGGACCAATTCCCAGTTAAACTCACTTGGGTTCAAGTGAGTTGATGCACGTTGTCGTGGACGTACAGAACTGGAATTACTGACTTAAAATGATGTGTGTGTGTAGTGGTGTTGGCATAAGTTTTATGAGCATGGTGTTGGTCTAAAACTCTTCATTTTTTGTTTTAAAAAGACTTTTTGGGATTACAACTCTTATTTGAGTTTCTTTAAGTGAACCTATGAAGACTGAGCATATAACTTTTTCATAGATATTTGGAAGCAGTTTTTACAAACAACCATAGAAACCATATAAATAAAAGAGAGCTGAACGTAAGTCCTTCAGAGCCCGGACACACTTGTACGTTGGCTGGAGTGAGAGACTTTATTGCTGTAAAAATGGTTTGGAATTTTTTTCACACAGTCAAAAAATATCCTATTTGATGATTTTTTTTTTTTTTTTTTTGTCAGACTCTGCTCTTTGTTTTTTTTGTTTTAAATTAGGCTTGGTCTCAAAAGTGGAGAGGGGCAGTTTTAAGCAGGATTAAATGTTGCTTCATCAGTAATAAATCCTGTGGAAGAGAGTAATGGCTATTGGCAGCCTACCTGTGCATTGTGTCCTATCTCCAAGAGAGGGTCATCAGTAGTTGCCTATGGGGTTATGGGCCTGCTCCCATCCCTGTTGAGAGTCTTAAGCCTATTGCAATGGATCCTTCTCAGACACCAGAAGCACCTGATGAGTCTTTATACCAGATTCCGTGGTGACAAAGCTTTTATCCCATTTATGCTTTCCAGGAAATTGTTAATCTTATTTTTAGACTCCATATTTAACGTACCTTAAAATTACTATATCGACAGAAGAGAAAAGCAAGCAGTATCCCTTGGATACTAGATATCAAAAGTTGTTACTGTATGTTACTGTGTCAACTCTATTGTTAAGGATATTGGGTTACTGTAGGCTTCCACGTTTGTATTTGGTTCCCTCCCCAACCTCCACCCCTTTCCCAATTTCACCCTCCACACCTGGAAAGCAGTGAACTATCTTGCACTATTCCCAGAATTCTGCCAAAGATGTTTTGACATAACACCACTTGCCATCATGTTGATTTCAGTTCCATTGAAAGCACAGAAACCAACTCCTACAAGAGAAATACAAAACTTCCAGTAAAGGGAAACATTTTGTGAGGTTCTTTATAGAGTATGTATAATTGATTGCCACAGCAAATTAGCTTGATAGTGCCCTATTTAAGATATAAAATTTATGTATAAAAACACCTTTGAATATGTTCATTTGTTGCTGTACATGTGTAATGTATATCTAGATAACTTTTCACTGGCGAATTTAATTTGTATTTTCATTACTTTGAGATTTAAGGAGGGTTTTTTTTATGTTTACTGGGTTAGGAAAATATAATGGTTGTATAACTATGTACAGTTCTTTGGCTTGTACTGCAAATGCCTTGAAATTCCAGTTGAAGTATTTCAAAATACTTCAAGAATGTTCCATTCTAAACCTGTGGCCTTTCAAATGTGCTATGGTTTTTTACTGGATTTCTAAAATATTTTAATTTTAAATAAAATATTAGTAACTTGCTTCCAGTCTTTCTCATCTCATCTACTAACAATCTGGCATTAATATCTACTTCTGCTAGAGGAAAATGAAGGAAATTGCTTCCTCCTTTGTTTCTCGTTAGGGCCATTTCTCCTGTTTGATGGAGCGGGCTTCCATTGTGCTTAGACTGGGGAGAAGTATTCATCTTACAGTCTTATGAAGTTGGACATTTTCAGTGAAAGTTCCCACAAATTATCTTCTGAAATCTGCTCAATATTGTGACACTGAAAAATACTGTGCTAAAATGGTCCTTCCACTATAGACTTTACACATACAGTTTGCTGTAAGTTACTTGGGATGTACAGTTTCAAGTACTGCTTTTCAATGGACTGGATTATTTCTTGGGGCATTTAAAAAAAACAAATGGTAGGCTTGTGTTAAGAAGGCTCACAAACGAAAAGGTAGTTGTAGGGATAGTGTATTTATCCTAGCTTAGAGAAGAATGATCAAACTACTCAGCTGGGTAAGAATTTAAATTAGATGTCTGTTTTGAAAATGTTTCTCTAAGTGCTAAAAAATTCTCAGTCAAACATGCAGGTTTTGGGGGAAATAGCTTTTTACATTTTTATCCTATTTCTGTTTTCATTGTTCTGTAAGTTCCTTCCACGCCACCAAGCGTGTTATATTATTGCTCCCATGTAATGGTGACAGAGAATCATCTTTCTCTCTCAGGCTTTTTTTACTTATTTTTTTGCAAACCATGTGAGCATGGTATAACGACACACCTTTTTGTTCACCATATGCATTGAAATTGGTATAAAGGGTGAAGTGTACCTCAGTTTTTGTATCAGGACTGGAGGGGTGAAACCTGTCTCCACTCAAGTCAATGTGGCCTTGGTTTCCAGATGAACATACCAATCAGAATTCTGTTAGGGATTTCTGGGACAAAAAAATGTCTTGTAAATTTGAAAAGGGTTTAACTTGAGAAAAGTGTGACTGGAACAATTAGCCACAAACACAAGAAACAAGGCACAATAATGTAACGGAAGAGTAACACCTGTGGATTTATAGAAAATGAACGTAACTCAAGTAATGGGAAGGGCAGTGCAGCTTGTTCACAAGTACAAAGTCCATATTACTACTGACATAGTGAGACACAGCAGGGCTTTGTCCCTGAGTAACTCCTATACAGTCAGTGGAGTTATACCAGTATAACAAAGCAGAATATCTAATCTGTGGGCTCACTAGATAATATGCAGGTAGCACCTGTATGCTACGGGTCATCCGTCTGCAGTTCATTGCAGAGGTCAGTTTCTTTAGTTTAGGGTAGGAAGAGCTTCCTCTTTAGAGCAAGGAGCATGACATGCCACCTACACTCTCATGCAATGTAGCGTGTGCTTCCTTTAACACTGAAGAGTGGACACCAAGCAGATCAATCACATGGGTTTTATTCCTGTTGAATTCAAAGGAGCAATTTCTCTTAATCTTTTAGACACATTGAGACACAGCACATCCCGCTTTTCACTATTTTTGTCTGTATGAGATCTTCCCCACTTCTGCAATTAGGCTATCCTTACTTTCTCACCCACCAGCTTGAGACTCTTGGTATGAGACTGTCATGGCCACACACATGTAAAGTAAGTCAGGCCAGGAGATGAAGAGCAGCTTCTGGTGATGGTGGCTAGGGATTCCCTGTCAGCTGAGGCCCACGGGTGTTCCAGTGAGATGATACCAAAGATGAAGAAATGATGATGGTGACCAACCTTGGTGGCTAAGGAGTGTGTGTGTGTGTCTGTGAAAGAGAAGTTGGTTGTTGGGTCATAGAGGCCTAAAGCCCTCAATATACCGTACCTATAAAAAGAAAAGGAGTACTTGTGGCACCTTAGAGACTAACCAATTTATTTGAGCTGTAGCTCACGAAAGCTCATGCTCAAATAAATTGGTTAGTCTCTAAGGTGCCACAAGTACTCCTTCCCCGTACCTATAAAATTACTTCTCCCCCTTTTGACTAAATCCATCTCTTGTAAAGTCTATGGCCTTTAAGGTTTTGTCTTCCATTAATTTTCAAAAATGTGCTTTGGAAGAATCCTTACGTGAGATTTCTGAAGGAGCCTATGGGAATTAGGGGCACAAATCCCACTGACTTTTGATAGGACTTGTGCTCCTAAATCATGTGGATGTTTGAAATTCTTCCCTCTTCAGCTGCCTGTCCCCTGAGCAAGCCAGGCTTTCTCGGACCAGCTTATTTAGAATAGTCCCATGTATACTCTAATTCAGTCAATATACTAATAAGAATCTTCTTTCTTCCTCCTCAAAGGAGCTGGGCAGTTGTGTGTGTGCTCCAAGCAACCAGAATAGCTTGGGCTTTCCCATTTGAAAAGGATGTTGGCTTTAGGCCTTTTTTGTAGTCTATGCAGCTGCCTCTATTTTGCTGGTAAAGATTGTCAATTAAAGCAATTACCATTTGGTGATGAGAAAGCGAGGTAGTTTTAAGTGCCCTATATTCCTGGACTCTTCTTCTGTTGGCACAAAGGAGCCTTCTGCTTTGTGTGTGATTACCCACCCTCCAAATGTTAGAGGCAGCATGTATGTTGTGTCATATCTGTGTACTGTCAGCCAGCAGAGAAAGCTGCAGCAGAAAAGTTTGCCCACAAGAGGGCAAAAGAACTCCATCAATGAGAATTGCTTGGTATTAACTTTCAAAATCCTCCCCTGCCCCCTTCTAGTTTTACATTAGTTTTGGTTTAACCTCACAGTCCTTCTCTTGGTGAGTGTTGCTAAATGAGCTTACTCGATATTTTACTAGTGCAAACTGATTTCTAACCTGCAACTAATTTCCCAGTATGGCCTCCAGGCCTTTTTAAAAAGAAAGGATCAGATCAATGATTTTCCAGGGAGGGTTTTTATCTTCTGCCAGAATTGGATTGGATCAACTTGGGGATAAGACCTCTGATGTTGGACTAGATGACCTTCTGAGGTCCCTTCCAACCCTGATATTCTATGTCTGTAACTGTTACTGCACTTTCAGTGGTTTCATTTCCCACACTTCAGTAGAAACACAGAGGTTGGCAGAGTCACAATGCACTATCTGACTTTTGTTTGGTACAGTGATATAGCTTTTGCCCTTTTCACCTTGTGACTCAGAAAAATTGCCATGACCATACAGCAGCCCTAATCACAGGGATGATGAGGTCATATGAACTAGTAAATTAGTTGACTGTAGGAGGGAAACAGGACTTGTTCTGCAACAGAAAACACTTTTTTTTTAATTATTAAAATCAAAGTCCCAGTTTGAGGGCTGGAGAAGGGAGAGGAACTTCCTCTTTGGCAGGCAAGGCCTAGTGCTATAGCACTCCTTTAGCTTGGTTCCCGTCACCCTCCCAGCTAGAGTAACGCATAGTAAATAGCAAATCAGATCCAATTCTTTTGGGTATTTATTACAAGATGGGAGAGGGCATTACTCAACAATGACTCCTGTGTTTGTATCAAATATGTGTGCATTGTTGCAGCTGGGGTATGCTTAATAACTGCCATGAAGCCCCTCTCTCAAACTTACCTTAAGTAGAGTACCTGGTTCATAATGTGTTCTGCAGATGGCTTAGCAGTATAGACAGCTGGGTCTGGCACTCAGGTTTCTCACCGAGTATTTAATAACTGGCTAGTCAGCAGCCAGAATTTGTGGCCAGTTACTTCCCATTGTTTGTTTGTCTTTTTAGCATCTATGCATGTGCACTCATGCTTTCTTGAACTGTTTATAAAAGCACAGGCAGGACCTGAAAGTCACCATTGTGTGCAGTTCACTCAGTGCCCATTGTGAAAGCAGATAGGACCCAGGTGTGCTTTACCTCTGTATTTTCTAGCCCCATTCAGAATAGGGGGTTGGTTGCTAAAAACACCTGCCTCCTGTCTGCACTCCTAGGGTTACCATATTCGAACATTCAAAAAAGAGGTCACTCCACAGGGGGGAATTTACCCCCCCGGCCCTGCCCCAGCCCCACCTCCTCCCCTGACCATACTGCGTTCCCCCCCACCCCCAAGCTGCGCGAAACAGTTGTTTTGTGGAGCAAGCACTGGGAGCTAGGGGGAAAAAGCGGGCACTCTCTTGAGTGATCAACATTCACTCTTTCTTGAATGATCAACTCTTCTTTGGGGAAGAATAATGGCAAAATCCCAGACTTTTTTAGATATTTAAAAATTCCTCCCGGACAGCGATTTAAGAACCAAAAAGCCGGACCTGTCCGGGAAAATACGGACGTATGGTAACCCTATGCACTCCAGCCTCCTTTGTCGCTTCACTTGTGGTAGAAGAACAGTGGGAAGATGGCCCAAAATTCTCAATGCAGACACCTGCATGTTTGTTTCTGAGCTGCAGTTAAGCACCTGCTCTCTTCTTTGCTTCAGGCTGGCAACCAAACCAGTGACGTTGCACCGGTGTAACAAGCAACGCAGCTGTGTGTCTGCACTTCCCAGTCTGTTTGGATGTAGGTATGCTTTGTGAGGTTGGAGGGCAGCAAAGTGAACACTTCCATTGGCTATCAGGCCCACAGTTCCTGAAGCAGTGGAGTATGGGAAATTTTAGCAAGCCTTTGGGGATCTCAAGGAAGTGAGGGAGCAGGGGTTTGACTTCCTGGGCAGCTTAACTGGGTTTCAGGTCATACCCTCCACACAGAAGTCAGAAGTGTATTTTGTCCATTTTTATTTATAGTAATACAGCAGCAAAGAAGCAGGTGGAATTATATACACAGGCCAGAAGACAATGAGTGATCCTCAGTTTGAGGTAAGCCCCTCTTACCCTCCCTGCCTGCTATATTAAACCTCATTGTCATTACACTTTATGACAATACCAAATTTTAATAAAGCTTTGACTACTATGATAAAGTGGATGCAGAGATTTGGCTTCAGGGCCTGTAAGATTCATGTAGCTGAGCAGAGGACATAATACTGCGATTAAAAAAAACAAACTTCGCTAATTTAGGTCAATTTATATTCCAGGCAGTAGGATTCTTATTCAGTAAAGTTTGAGTCAACAAAAGGATGCTCCTAGCTTAATAGGGTTTGGACCTAACTGTAAAGCTCTCATGTCTGACAACCTACTGAACAGCAGGTATGAATGGAGTTCTTTGGCACCCCTATAGCTTTAATTGCCACAACTTTAGCACTGTGCACTTATGTTGGTCATGGTTCATGAAGAAGAAAGCCATGCATGAGTAGACAACCGGTGCTGGTCTAAACTCACATTGGCATAGCTACATCTCACTGTGAAAAATCCACATGCCTGAGAGCATGTAGCTATGTCAGCCTAACCCCTGCTGTAGACAGCACGAGGTGGATAGAAGAATTCATCTGCCAACCTAGCTACCATCTCTTCGGGCGGTGGATGAACATGCGGTGCTGTAGTAAGTGCCTGCTCTACAGGTGCACAGCTGCCATGCTGTAGCATTTTAAGTGTAGACATAGCCTTAGAATGTCTCTTGCTGGTAGCCAGAGCCTTTAGCTAGGCATACAATATTCAGCTTCTGTTCCAGTATGCTAAGATGTTCTGGATCATTGGTATACTGCTAACAGCAGTTGGTTATGGGAACTCAAGGCTCAAATAGGCCCCTCTCCATGAAAGGCCTACAGGCTTGTTAGCTTCAATGGTGCCAGGCTATGAGACCTGAGTGAAGTGCTGTGTGAAGGCAGATAAAGCTGTACAAAACGCAGAAAAGTAAAGAGGCAATTTGGGCCTTCAGTGATTTGGCTGTTGCAGCCAAAGAAAATTACTGGCACAATAACAGTAGGAAAAAAGGCAGTGAACCAGTCCACTGCAAAGGTTTTATGCCCCCTCCCCCCCCCCCAAAAAAAAAAAAAAGTTATGTATTGCACATCCTAAAGAAGAGCAGGTGTACAGAACCACCAGACCCTTTTTGAACTTCATTGCTGGGGTGAAAGGCCCACCACTTGGATCATTACACATATTGAATCTATTTCCCTATGTTAAGTATCCTCATACCTTCTTGTCAACTGTCTAAATGGGCCTTCTTGATTATCACTACAACAGTGTTTTTTTTTCTCCTGCTGATAATAGCTCTTCTTAATTAATTAGCCTCTTTCCGTCTGTATGGCTACTTCCACCTTCTCTGTACGTATAGATATATCTTCTTACTATGTGTTCCCTTCTATGCATCCGATGAAGTGGGCTGTGGCCCACAAAAGGTTAAGCTCTAATAAATTTGTTAGTCTCTAAAGTGCCACAAGTCCTCCTGTTCTTATTGATAGACCAGCTTAACCACATAACAGTTCTGTACACTCAGAGCACTTGGGGCCTTTTTTTTTTTTTTTGTTAAAGTCCAAAAGTCAACTATTTATCTGAGCTCACCTAAAGAGATTGAAAGCAGAAGCCCACTAATGCATTTTAACTGAACTGATTCTCCCTAGCCATTTCTCCTCTAAGGAAAAGACATTTGAAAGTGAGGAGCACTCATCACTACTGTGCTATGCTCAAACAATCTTGGCTTTGGCTCAAGTTAGTATTTGTCCCATGAGAAGCTGCACTGGGATGCTGAAAATAAGCCTCCAGGGTCACGTTAGCAGATAAAGTGATGTCAGGGAAAAGGTGAAGCACTGATCTTCCACACCAAAAGTCTGACACTCATGGAAATAAAGGAAATGCACTTTATGCTTCTTGGCAATGGTCAGTCCCTAAGGGTCTGTCTCCACTTAAACTGTTACAGGGGTACCTGCAGTGCGTCAGGGTAGACACTGCCCATGCCAACAGGTGAAGTTCTGTTGCGGAGATATGTAATCCACCTCCCCAAGAGGCAGGAACTAGGTAAGCTGAAAAATTCTTCCATCAACAGAACGCTGGCTACACCAGAGGTTAGGCTGGCCTCAGGGGAGTAGATTCTTTTTTCACCCTTGAGACACATAGCTATGCCAATGTAAGTTGCCACTGCAGACCAGCCCGTAGTAACTGTTAATATCTATGGGTTGTAAGATGCTGCTGTAGTTTACTTCCTGCATTTATGCCACTTCCTGAATTGAAATTAAAGTAACTGCATTGTTTTAAGACACTAAGGAAATGAAGTACAGTATCCCCTGAATTAAGGATCTCTGCTTCTTTACATGGGGGGAAAACCCATATCCACAACAGAGCAATGCTCTTATCACATTCTGCTTTTTACAATTCATTAGACCGCTTCCTATGCCTCTCAGTCACCTAGTGTGCAACATGTTTTGTTGTGTGTCCTGTCACAATTGACACACTAATGGCTTTTAGCTATACAACCTGTTCATAGGTAAGTGTTTTCTCAGCGTTGAGACTCAAATCGCAAAACTGATTTGAGGCCCTCTGTCCCTCCTCAAAACCAGACCCTTTGCTCATTCCTGGCCCCCTGCACGGTTCCTCTTGCACTTAGACCTTGTGTGTCCCTGTCTTCCAGAGTCAGGGATGCAGATGCTCTTTTTCCACCCCTAAACAAAATTATAGGGACCCACTTACAGCCACCAGCAAAGAGCGTGGGGGCAATCACTCCTCTCTGACCTCTCCTTCTGCTGGCAGGTTGATGTAGAATCAGGCTCCAGCTCTGCTGCTCCTCCGTTGGGCTGCAGGCAGGAAGTAGATGGCAGTTCACAATTACCCCGACTGCATAAGAAGGGGAGGTACTGGCTTGAACTCCATGCCCTACCTGCGGTTGGTGTCTGCTTTGATCTTGTGTGGAGCAGTTTCCTTCACTTTCTCCTCCCGACCCTGGCTTCAGTTACTGCACTCCATGGGCCACCATTGAACTTGGGGGTACTCGGAGCCAACACAGGCTCTGAGGTGGGACCTACAACAAAGTGTGGTGAGGGGAGACCTCCACTTGATGAGAGTTCCTGATAGTTCTAAGTGGAAATACAGCCCAGCACCCTGATATGCCTAAGAGGGACAACAGGAGACAGGCACCAAAAGAGCGTGCTAAGCTCTAACCAGAAGAACATTGACAGCAGTGTGTATAAGCCATGCATATTGGGGGGAGGGGGGGTGATTGTCACCTCAAATGATGGTATATACATCTTAGAGCAGGATGCCCCTACTTTACCCAGCTGAGAGTTGCATTATCACCTTGACAGAGCACAAGGCCTGAAGCTCCTTAAGTATAAATGGACCAGGCTGCAGGTTTCCTCCTGTATGGGCTATGGAGACTACAGATCCAAGCATTAAATACTTCATCTTAAGCTATGTGATTCACCTGCAAATTGATGCCACCTTCCTCAGGCTCAGGTTACGATTTATAACATTTTCCTTTGGCTGGCGCAGAATGTATACTCAGAAGGAAAGAGGATGTGAAATATGAAAATATTGGACGAGAGAGGCTAAAAGGAAGCACTTCTCCAGCTCTATCTTGTTGCTCCTTCAGGTGTGCAACAACTTGAAGGCTGTTAATATTTGCTAGCTTCTTTATTACGGTAGTTATGACAGGTGACAGTTAAATGAGACGCCCCTCCTGTGCTCACTTTGGAATTCTGTAGAGAGCAATGTGTTTCAGCGCCCACTGAAAATCCTTCACTCACAGTATTTGTATCAGGTACCATTGTTTGGTAATCGCTGGAATTCTCCTAGCCTTCTTTGCCACAGGCAGCATGCCAACTACACTCGCATAGTGATTTGCTCTTCGAGGATGCACGTATGACACAGTAATCTGCTGCTCCTCCTCTCAGCCCTTTTCTGAAGAATCTTTCTCAACTGCTTTTGCAGAACATATGCAACCGCTATTTGAAAGGTGCGCAATGAAAAACTGAGCAATTTAAAAGCAATTAAAAGGAGAATTAAGCTGTCACAAACTGCATAGGCATCCTCTAACCACAAAGGCTCATTTTCAAGCCAATATCTTCTGTAAGACAAATGTATCATTCATTTTTAAACGCTTGTATTTGATATTATAGAGCAAATTCACAGCATTTTGTTCTGCATACAGATGCAAGCCAAAGGGGGAGTTTCCATTAGTTCTCCAGAAAACACATTTCAGGCCATCACAGAATGATATCCAGAAATGCTATGACCTTTAGGGTGCATTGAACTCCTAGTTGGGGATTTTTCCAACCTGGGATGGGGGTTGGGGTGGGAGGAGGGGTGTCTGGTGGGGTGGGCATCAATGGCAGTGCAGCACAGGGGTCAGAGACACCACTGCAGTATGGAAGAAAGCCTAGGAAAGATGAATGGACTGCGAGCTGTGGGAACCAGCGTTGTTCTGAGAGATCTCAGCTTTTTGTTAGAATTCTCGGCTCATCGCTGCTTGCCTACAGGCTATTCTGCATGGCTATTATAGTCAGTGAGGATGTGGAAGCTGCATATGTAGGACAGTGTGTAGTTGCCTTTGCTGTGTCAGAAGTCCATTTCCACGGGGCTGGGTGGGGGAAGAGGGCCTGGGGAATGTCATAGTAACTGTGAGCATTCCCCTCACAGGAGGGGAAGAGAAGTAGTATATCACTAATACATACTCACCTTCTGGCCCTGGAAGAAATCTGTCCTTAAACCTCTAGGGCCCAAGTCTAAATCATGGTCAGTGACCAGTCACCAAAAGTTGGGTAAAATTACTCAGGGAGGTTTAGTCAGTGAGCGAGTATCATCACACACAGCATCAGCCCTGATGTTGGCATTTTCAGCAGAGCAGGCAAAGAGAGGCATAGAGAATTAACTCTTCTCAGACTTGCCTGGTACTGGCTGAGGTGTACTGGCAGGGCACAGCAAGGAAGCATGCACCCTACTGCATGTGGGCTGTAGATAAATAGGAGACTATGTTCTCCAGAGCAGCAACACTATTCCTAAGCACTTTTTTTTTTTTAAATTGTGTGAATTTAGACATCCTATCTGCAGTGAACAGAACAAATACCAGACACAGCTGTAAGGCACAAAACGAGGCCAGAGTAGGATGTTGTTAAAAATCTGTAACATTTAAGGCACATTTACCCCTGGCTGTTTCATGAGCCAGATTTACACTGGAATAATTTTCTAATACAAATGTAAAAATTAGGTCAATCACAATTTCATTTACAAACTCAGGAAGAGGAGAGCTCTGCCACACTTCCCCTTTTCTTGAAAAGGGCTCTGGAAGTTTCTGGCTCTGTGGAGATGGACTAGGGAAAGGGTAGGGCGGGGGAGCTCAGGATTTGCTCATCTCCAGAACTGCGGGGGCTGGGGTGGGGGTGGGAGAGAGAACAGACGGATGAGGGGGACGACAGAGGAAGGTAAGTGCAGAATTAGGTTGCATTAACTGGCACTGTTTCCCTCTTCCTCCTCAGAAACCCCACTTTAGGAGGAATCCAGGAACAGCCACACTAGACACAGTGTCCCTGAAAGAACAGCTCTAACAGAGCAGAGGTAAGGGGTATCCATACAGATTGAAGGTTATGTAGGAGGAGCAAGATGGTTCTACTCTAGGAGAAATGCATGCATGCACCCACACACACACACACACTCTTCCTCGCCCCCTTCTTTCCCCCGGAGAGAATAATTTCTGGGAAACTCACAATTACCCTCTCCATGGGTTATTTCTGTGGAGGGGAGAATGGAAATATGCAAATACATATATATGAGGAGGAAAGCAACAGACTTAGTGCACCACTAAGCATATGTTCTTGCATACCTATTGTACAGTACAGAGAAAAGTTTTTGGGGGGGTTATGAATGACTGTATATTAAAAATGTAGGAACAGAATTAATTATTTTGGCATCTAGAAAACTCAGTTTACATTTGAGGTTAGAAGGGAGCATTCACAGTGAGTTGTCCAAGACATGGTTCCTGAAAAAGGATTTTTTGATGCTGGCCGAACAGATGTAAAAAATATCAGTGACAACAAAAGAGAAAGTAAAAGAGAACTTAAGGCAGGTTTCCCAGGCACAGACTGGTGTGAAAGAGTTGCTTTGTTAAAGGAATTATCCTTGAAGATTAATAATCAGAGGTGAATTTGCAGAATTTCCCTTCTGCAAATGCATGGAGGAAATCAGAATTAATCTTTCCATCTTTAAAATCATACAGATCCTAATTAAACAACTCTCCAAAGGAGGTTTGAATATTCTCATTGCATGTAACTGGGAGCCAAAGACCAGCTTACGAGACAGAAAGAGCACTTCTCTAAAGTTCAGAAAAAAAAGATTTTGCCATCAAACTGTTCTGACACCAAATTCTTTGGTTCCAACATTGGTTGTTTCTCTCCTTGCATAAGATGTTCAAGTAAATCTTCAAATCTACTGTATGTAATCCAATCACACAAATGTCAACTCTCTCCTCCTGGCACATGGTGGACCCTCTTCTTTGATATCCCTTTTAGAAAGGCACAAACATCTTGCAGTGGCCAAACAGTCATACAGCTGCATCTTTAAAAAGGAAGTCAGAGTCAGTTTGGTTTGCCACAAGCAAATTAATTTATTTGATTAAAAAATATGCAGGAAGCCACTATGAACTCTTTTGGGGGGTATGAGGACATGGAGTATTCACTGATTATTACATGTAGGTTATGTTGTTGTTATTGTTAGCTGTTAATAAGTTACTGCTAAAGTACTGTGTTGTAAATATATTGAGCTACATCATACAGAACATTAATAAATTCTTCCATACAAACTCTGCCATGGAAAATATAAATATTCCATTTGTGAAGTATTCTGCCTAGTTTTAACATTTGATTCTTACCTGTTGACTGAGTAATACATGAGATCTTGTAGGATAACCAAATGCTCAAAGCGCAAAGGAATGTAGCTAAGAAACCAAACGTCTGTTAAAAGAAACGGTATATGTAAAAAGAAAGCATGTTCACTTATCTACACTGCAGAGCATCCCATGCATTCAAATTCCATAATTATTTATTCATTGATGGGGAAATTCCCCCCACTGTGCCTGCATAAGCATCTGAATCATTTATGCCCACAAATTAGAGTTTACGAAGGCTTTAAATGGTACATAGATCTCATGCAGGATCTCTGTACATGGGCGACTTTCACCCTGTGCACCCAAAAGTGTGCTGAATGCTAATACCTCCCAAAACAAACAACAATCTCCCTCTTTTTTCTTTGCTGCTTGTAGCTTGATTCATTTTTAAGATTTCTTAAATGTGTGTGTAAATGTAAATAATTTACTCAAGGGAAAGCTGAGTCAAAGAGATGAGTTGTACAGTTAGACCCAGAGCCTCAAAAATATTTAAGAACCTAAATACCTCTGAGGATCTGGGCTTTGGTGGAGTGAGTTTCACAGTCTAAATCCCGTTCCCATCAAAATTCAATTTCCCATATATAGGCACCTCCCCCAATCAATCCCTATGGAAGTTCATGACTGGGGAGGCAGAGGTGACTTCAGAGGTAGCTAGGGCCAATCCCATGGTGGGCTTTAGTTCTCATGACACAGACCTTGAACTGGACTCTGTTAAGTAGGGAGCAAATGCAAAGAGCAGAGCACTGGGATGCTGTGCTCATGATAAGTTTTGTTGCTAAACTGACAAACTGCCTTGTTTTGTAGTGAAGTAAAGTTAAGTTACTTAATCCTTCACCAAAACCCATTGGTTCTGTGTGTTTTGCAGCAGCTAGAGCCTTGTGTTTTACCTCTTTAACATGTCTAATCTCCCCCAATATAGGGAACTGGAATCCCACAGTAATCAATTTTCTTTTGTGTAGTTATGGTATGTTAATTGAAACAAGCCAAAAAGATAGTACACCCATGGAGACCAAACAAGACAGGATTGTAAAGAAAATAAAGCTGAAAGCAGTAAATTCCTAATGTAGAGTAACAAAGTGTCAGGATTAGTAAACACTTATTTAACGAACAGCCTTACCGCTCCAGCTACGAGTCCTGCTGAACTATAGCTCTTTGACGTTGCCACAATAGAGGCAATGAGAAGCAGGAGTGTACCAATTAAATAATGGAGAAGTTCCTGAAAATACAAACATAGCACTGTTTAGAAGGGAAACATATCAGAAAAGCATTTAAACAAACCAACAAGCAGGTAGACAAAAGGCAGGCTGGCTGGTTGTGGTAGCATGTTTCAGAGCAGCTCAGTGGGGAGAAGGAAACAGAATTAGATTTCAGGATGTGGTTGGTCAGGTGTGTAGGGGTAAACAGAAGAACATGCTTCACCCCCCCCATGACAGTAAGGTCTTTAACATAGCTAAATTTTGCTTGATCTACTAGCAACTTACCACAAACACAACAGGACATAGGACAGGACCCACAAAACCAGACACCCACCCCACAAAAAAACAAGTTTCCTCATATCTAATGTCAAGTCTCCAAAGAACCTCTCAAGCAGAGTGTACATTGTATGTGGCAGAAGAGCAGCTAAATGATAGAGCTAGTTGAAACATTTTTTATGACCGTCTTTCTCCCCCCAAAACTCAGTTTTGTCAGAATTGAAGCATTTTGCAGGAAAATTTCTATGGCATTTTAGATGGAGAAAAGTTAAAACAAATTGTTTCACCTTTCTCACTATGAAGAACGTCAAAACATTTCATTTTGGTAAGGTACAATGATTTGGTTTAACTCTACTGTTTCAATTAATTTCGTTTAGGCTTTTATATTATATTAAATATTCATTTTATAATAATATAAAGACAATATATTTTATCATATATATACTTATGGTTTATATTATAATATTTTGACATTATCTAGACAATTAGACATGATCAAAACAAAATGTTGTGATAATTTTGAACCTACATTTATCAGAATTATTTTTTTGCTGGAAATTTCAGCTTTTCATTCAAATTCAGAACAAAAACAACATTTAAGAAATGTTAGAATTTCCCACAGAACGGAAGTTCCAGTTTCTCTTTACACTCTTCTCAAGCCCTGAACATATGTGAAATCTCATTCACTTCACAAACACAGAAACACACTCTCCTCCCAGCTCTGCTCTCTATATCAGTACTGCAAACTGTCATGCTGCTATTTGTGCCTTTTCTTCCTTCTTCAATTATATCTTTGCTTCTCTGAACTCCCGATGACTATTTATGAGTTCTGTGGCGCAGAAGTGGATTCTTTTTGGTGATTGGAACATGTATAACTGTATTTTGGAGGGAAATTCTTCTTGTTTAGGAGTCTCTCCCTTCCTGGCTGAAGGAACTAAATCATGTTCGGGAAACTGCAGCCAACAAAATCTAATATGCTTCCCCCCCACACACAATTTTTTAAACAAAAGGCTAAGATATGAAAATTCATACAGTCTTTTAATCAGGTGATCTATGTGCAATAGAACATGATATCTTGAGAGGACACTGGTTATAATGAGAGATAAGCCAAAGTGACAATATTTGGATCAGGATTTTAAGCACTTCCCATGTATGAAGGGTTTCAATCCAGGAGTTTGGTTTGGTTCATTGTAAAAACGTTGGGCCTCTTGCAAGATTTGGATGTCGATCTGGATTTTAAATCCCCATGAAGTTTGGGGGCTATACAGATCCAGAATTTAGGTTCAGGTCTTTCTGTAATCAATACTGAGAGACAGAGAAATTAAACATGAACTTCAGCCTACACTTTCAAAATTCTTTTTATTTTTTACCAGTCAAAACTTTTACCAGTCAGTTCTGGGTACTCAACTGGTGACTGACGCAGCTGGTTTTCAGAAAAGGAGTTCTCAGCACTTTCAAAAGAATCAGGCTCCTTTAAGGTGTCTCAAATTGGGTCATCCAAAGTCACTAGTCACTTTTGAGCATTTAGGTTGAACTGGTCTCTCATACAAGCCACACCTCTAACATTTATCTTTAGGCAAAATCAGAAGAGGCCTGAATAGTTGGGAGGTGCACTTTTTTTTTGGGGGGGGGGATTGCAATTGTAAATATATTCTTTAATAAAAAGGGGGGAAGATGTAAAATTAATGCTGATCTACAGTAAGAAAGGAGTATGTGCACATTCCTTAATCTGACATCAATCCAGTGAATTATGTATACAGTTTGCATTAAAAACAGTCTAACGCCTTCTTTAATTTCCTGGCAGGACCTTCCCCCTTTGAATTCATTCTGAGACAGATTAATGTGTCATTAGGCATAATGACAGCATGTTGTAACAGAATGGCAAGATCTAGGATCTCACACAAGGATGCGGGACTCATCTGTTGATTGACCTGCTAGTGAGAGTTAGAGCCCTGTGTAAAGCTGCTAAGTAAGTTCTGCTGACTCACTGCAGTTTGTACAGTGTGTTAATTCCACAAGGATATAAGAGGAGGACATGACCCTCTGCCATGGGAAACCAAGAGATGAGACAGGAACATCCTACAGGAAATCCTAGGAACGGTCAGACACTGGGATGGGGTGTGGTGGGATGGAAAGTTGAGGGCTATATTTGACTTGGTACAGCATGGTAGACTCTTTGGAACATGGTGGAGTACATGAATTCTAATTCAACGATGAGGTAGTGTAACTAGTTCCTAGTCATGCAGTTGTAACATAATTTCCCCAAATCCCCATTACTCTGTATCTTCTCCAATTGCTAACACCTGTGCAAAGTGGATGGAAAATGCTACCATTCTGATCTGATGGTATTTTGCACCAATTTTTCACAATCGGATCAGCAGTGAAGAATCAGGCCTGTAACTGTCCAATGTAATGAACATGAGAGGAAAGATGCAATTGCCACATCTACGAAGACTTAGCCCTGGTCTACACTAGTGGGGGGATCGATCTAAGTTACGCAACTTCAGCTACGTGAATAACGTAGCTGAAGCCGACGTACTTAGATCGACTCACTGTGGTGCCTTCACCGCGGTAAGTCGACTGCTGCCGCTCCCCCATCAACTCCGCCTGCACCTCTCGCGGAGCTGAAGTACAGGAGTAAACGGGAGAGTGCTCAGGGATCGCTGCCCGCTGATCCGGCAGGTAGTGAAGACATACCCTAATAAAAGTTATATCAAAGTAGAAACAGGCTAAATACTTTGAAAGAAACTTGAAGACTTGTCTAGATTTTCTCCAGAAATTAACATTATAAGAATGCAAGATCCCTTTGTAATTCTTATTATACAGACTCAAAGGGCCAAATTCTCATGTGGGGTAACAGCAGATATACATTTAACTTAGCATTTCAATGGATACCCAACAATCTCCCAGAAGCCTTGCCTATATTTAACAATAGATCTAAGAATTCCTAATAGGACTCTTTTCACATAAGTGTTATGTTATTATACGTAGTCACCAAATAATCACAACTGTGGTATTTAGCTTTGTGTTTTGTTTGCATTTATCTGCAATTTGTGGAGTTTGAAAACCAAAGTGACGTATAACATTGACTGTAGACTCCACTAGATAATGGGTGAAATCCTGGCTCCACTGAAGTCAGTGAAAAAATTGCCACCGATTTCAATTTCATCAGCTATTCAGTGTCAGCCACCATGTGTAATACAAGCTTACAGCTTTTTCCCGTTTGCATTAACCAAGTACAAAATATCAGGTTATAATCAGAGTTCAACATGAGCCCCAGCTACAAAATTCAAATCTGAATTTTGGCTATCTTATAATATGCAGGCATATGGATCCAAGATTTGATCAGTTATTAAGGTTGTGTCCATCTGGAAAATTCAGATTTCAAACATCTTGTAAACATGAGGATCTGCAGACCTGAGGTTTTGGATGTGGCTCATGATTGCTACAGACTGGTGACCCATTCATTTGTTATGCTACATTTCATAAACACAGCAATTCCTGATAAAACAACAACAAATAATAATGAATCTGCACCGACACCCAAGAGTACATTACTTTGGGGGAGGAAAAGAGTGTAACATAACACATCAGTAGTATGGAGGATTTTGAAGGAAAAAGAGAATGGTTAGAGGGAAATAAAGCAAAGAGGAAAATAGAAGAAAACTAGTGAAAGGGAATGATGGCATAGGAAATAATCCCATGGAATAGCTGTATTTCTGATGTTAAGCTTTCCTTCTCCCATAGCTGCAGGCATATCAGTAGAGCTGGTCAGACGCTGTCACAACCCATAATCTGATGGAATTTTTCATCAAAATTTCAAGTTTTGATGCAAAAAGTTGAAAGATTTTCCTGAAACTACACCACAATTGTCAGACAGCTCTGCAGAGAAGGAGATGCTACCACTTTTCAGAGTAAGGTGCGCAAACAGAAAAGTTTGTAACTGGCATGCAATCCATGTGGCAAAATGGTCAGATCTGGGTTCAGCTCTGATACTAGTGTGTGAGAGATCTGGGGCAAGTCACATAACCAGTCTGGACCTCAGCTCTTCTTCCTCTATAATAGAGATAAGGAGGCTCACCCACCTTTGCAGAGGTCTGTGGATGAAGACTGGTATAGAAGTGTATTATTATGATGATGATTATGGTGCACTTGTCCCCTCACCCTGTCTTCTGTGAATGTCATCAGTCCCTCCAGTGGTTGAGATCAATAGCGGAAAAAGCAATGCAACTCAGCAGTTGGAAGCACAAGTAACAGGACAGTAACTATAAAAGTTGCTGAAATAAATCTTGCCAAGGAACAAGGAAGAACTGGAGATCAGCTCCAAAAATACAACATAGTTTAGAAGAAGTTTTAAAATCGGAAACAAATGCACAGTAAAAAAACAAACACACACACACAAACTCTCTCACTCACACACACAGAGATTTTTTTTTTCCAGCATGTCTTAAAATGGGCCATCTATAGCTTGTCCATTACTCTGCCCTCAAGGAAGTAAAGTTTCCTTATCCCATGAGATGGGCTCCACAGCATCTGTATACAGGACAGCAATTATGCATGTGTTAACTTACACTCATCCTTAACTTTAAAATGTTTCTTGACTCAGGGCCTATCTGCTCAATGCTAACTTAAGAAGAGCACTGGACATGAAGATCTCTCATTTTCTTTTATCTGCATCAAAGTAACTCAGTTTATACTGGTGTAAGGCAGAGTAGAATCAGGCTCAAAGAATGTGGGAGAGTGCCTGCACGCTCCAGTTCAGCAGGCAGTATGAAAGATGAAGTGACTGGTCAAAGGATTCATGAAGGACAAGAAGAGAGGGAAACAGAGAAAAAAGCAGTGGCTCCACAAATAATCAGATAGAGCAACTAAAGAGGTTAGTGCATGAGAGGTACAGGGTAGCAATCCCACCAATGTCACTTACCGCAAGTGGCCAACTAATACAGGTGAGCATTCTGTATGCTCTGAAAAGGTAGACAAAATAAAAGACAAGAATCATAATCAAGTCACACATGGTGACAGTTTCAAAGTAGACGGATGCACTGTAATTTGTCCACGCTGAATTCTTCACACAGATGAATCCAATCAGCAGTGATATCTGAAAGACAGAATAATACATTTTATTGAGCAACCCCCAGGTGCTCAGAGTGCTTCATACAAAATATGAAGAACAATTCAAATACATACATCATTTAAAAATCAAGAAGGTAAAAAGCACTTTAGATGAGCCCAGTACAGACAGAAGGAGAAAGTAATGAGCACAGAACCAACATGAGGATAATAAAAACCTCTTTGAAATAAATATCTTGAGATAATTTTTAAAAGCATAGAGAGACAAATGTCAGAAGTGAGCAAGTTCCACACCACAACACCCCATCACTAGTAAGAGCACTGCCACCGGCCAACCTGAAATGCAACAGTGGGATCCCTAAGAGGTGGAGAGGTCTCAGAGTGTAGTGAATAACCAGAAAGAGATCTCAAATACAGACAGGTTTTCAAAAGGCTCTCAGTGACTGGGGTGCCTAAATCCCATTAGCTTTCACAGGGTTTTAGGCACACAAGTGCTTTTGGAAATGTTAATCAGGGCCTAAACTGTTAAAGGCTGTAAAAACCGAGGCCCTGAGCTTGCAAGTACTCATATGCATACTCTTATTCATGTGATTGCATTCATTGGGACTTCTCATATACATAATCTGAGGATCTGCCTCCAATAGGGCCAAACTAAAATCAATTTACCTCTTTACCACTAGCCAAAGGAAAGAATGTAGGATGCGCATAATATGAAAAATATATAAAAAAGTAGAGGAATTTTATAGCTTGTCCCTATGATTGTCACACCTGACAAATCACCTATGAACTACATATATAATTGTCACATTACAATATTAACATCAAGTAGCTTGTACTCACTGTGGTTTTTCATAGGTACTAAGGTCAGAAGGGACCATTATGATCATCTAGTCTGACTTCCTGCACAATGCAGGCCACAGAATCTCACCCACCCACTCCTGCGAAAAACCTCACCTATGTCTGAGCTATTGAAGTCCTCAAATCGTGGTTTAAAGACTTCAAGGAACAGAGAATCCTCCAGCAAGTGACCTGTGCCCCATGCTACAGAGGAAGGTGAAAAAGCTCCAGGGTCTCTTCCAATCTGCCCTGGAGGAAAATTCCTTCCTGATCCCAAATATGGCCATCAGCTAAACCCTGAGCATATGGGCAAGATTCACCAGCCAGATACTACAGAAAATTCTTTCCTGGGTAACTCAGATCCCACCCCATCTAACATCCCATCACAGGCCTTTAGGCCTATTTACCATGAATATTTAAAGATCAATTACCAAAATCATGTTATCCCATCATCCTCCATAAACTTATCGAGTTTAATCGTAAAGCAAGATAGGTTTTTTGCCCCCACTGCTTCCCTTGGAAGGCTATTCCAAAACTTCACTCCTCTGATGGTTAGAAACCTTCATCTAATTTCAAGTCTAAACTTCCTGGTGGCCAGTTTATATCCATTTGTTCTTGTGTCCACATTGGTACTCAGCCTAAATAATTCCTCTCCCTCACTGGTATTTATCCCTCTGATATATTTATAGAGAGCAATCATATCTTCCCTCAACCTTCTTTTAGTTAGGCTAAACAAGCCAAGCTCCTTGAGTCTCCTTTCATAAGACAGGATTTTCATTCCTCGGATCATCCTAGTAGCCCTTCTCTGTACCTGTTCCAGTTTGAATTCATCCTTCTTAAACATGGGAGACCAGAACTGCACACAGTATTCCAGGTGAGGTCTCACCAGTGCCTTGTATAACGGTACTAAAACCTCCTTATCCCTACTGGAAATACCTCTCCTGATGCATCCCAAGACCGCATTAGCTTTTTGTACAGCCATTTCACATTGGCAGCTCATAGTCATCCTATGACCAACCAATACTCCAAGGTCCTTCTCCTCCTCCATTACTTCTAATTGATGCGTCCCCAGCTTATAACTAAAATTCTTGTTATTAATCCCTAAATGCATAACCTTACACTTCTCACAATTAAATTTCATCCTATTATTATTACTCCAGTTTACAAGGTCATCCAGATCCTCCTGTATGATATCCCGGTCCTTCTCTAAATTGGCAATACCTCCCAGCTTTGTATCATCCGCAAACTTTATTAGCACACTCCCACTTTTTGTGCCGAGGTCAGTAATAAAAAGATTAAATAAGATTGGTCCCAAAAATGATCCCTGAGGAACTCCACTGGTAACCTCCCTCCAGCCTGACAGTTCACCTTTCAGTAGGACGCGTTGTAGTCTGCCCTTTAACCAATTCCTTATCCACCTTTCGATGTTCATATTGATCCTCATCTTTTCCAATTTAACTAATAATTCCCCATGTGGCACGGTATCAAACGCCTTACTGAAATCTAGGTAAATTAGATCCACTGCATTTCCTTTCTCTAAAAAATCTGTTACTTTCTCAAAGAAGGAGATCAGGTTGGTTTGGCACAATCTACCTTTTGTAAAACCATGTTGTATTTTGTCCCATTTACCATTGACCTCAATGTCCTTAACTACTTTCTCCTTCAAAATTTTGTCCAAGACCTTGCATACTACAGATGTCAAACTAACAGGCCTGTAGTTACCCGGATCACCTTTTCCCCCCTTTCTTAAAAATAGGAACTATGTTAGCAATTCTCCAATCATATGGTACAACTCCTAAGTTTACAGATTCATTAAAAATTCTTGCTAATGGGCTTGCAATTTCATGTGCCAATTCCTTTAATATTCTTGGATGAAGATTATCTGGGCCCCCCAGTTTAGTCCCATTAAGCTGTTCGAATTTCACTTCTACCTCAGATATGGTAATATCTGCCTCCATAGCCTCATTCCCATTTGTCATGCTACCATTATCCCTAAGATCCTCTTTAGCCTTATTAAAGACTGATGCAAAGTATTTGTTTAGATATTGGGCTATGCCTAGATTATCCTTAACCTGCACTCCATTCTCAGTGTTTAGCGGTCCCACTTCTTCTTTCTTTGTTTTCTTCTTATTTATATGGCTATAGAACCTTTTACTATTGGTTTTAATTCCCTTTGCAAGGTCCAACTCTACTTCACTTTTAGCCTGTCTCACTTTATCCCTACATGTTCTGACCTCAATAAGGTAGCTTTCCTTGCTGATCCCTCCCATCTTCCACTCCCTCTATGCTTTCTGCTTTTTCTTAATCACCTCTCTGAGATGCTTGCTCATCCAGCTTAGTCCACAACTCCTACCTATGAATTTTTTCCCCTTTCTTGGGATGCAGACTTCCGATAGCGTCTGCAGCTTTGATTTAAAGTAATCCCAGGCCTCCTCTACCTTTAGATCCATACATTCTTCAATCCAATCCACTTCCCTAACTAATTTCCTTAATTTTTGAAAGTCAGCCCTTTTGAAATCAAAAACTCTAGTTGGAGATTTATTTTTGTTTGTCCTTCCATTCAGTTTGAACTGAAATAGCTCATGATCACTTGAACCAAGATTGTCCCCTACAACCATTTCTTCTATGAGGTCCTCACTACTCACCAAAACCAAATCTAAAATGGCATCCCCTCTAGTCAGTTCAGCAACTACTTGATGAAGGAATCCATCAGCTATCGCATCTAGGAAAATCTGAGCCCTATTATTATTACTAGCACTCGTCCTCCAGTCTATATCTGGGAAGTTAAAGTCTCCCATGATCACGCAGTTTCCATTAGTATTTACTTTATTAAAAACATTAAAAAGGGCTCTATCCATATCCAAATTAGATCCTGGCGGTCTATAGCACACCCCAAGCACTATCCCAGGGGAGGCTCTAATACTTTTCTTCCCCAATGACAGGTTTCAGAGGAACAGCCGTGTTAGTCTGTATTCGCAAAAAGAAAAGGAGTACTTGTGGCACCTTAGAGACTAACCAATTTATTTGACCTGTAGCTCACGAAAGCTCATGCTCAAATAAATTGGTTAGTCTCTAAGGTGCCACAAGTACTCCTTTTCTTCTTCCCCAATGTGATTTTTGCCCAGACGGACTCTGTCTTATCCATTCCATCGCTTCTTATTTCTTTACATTCTACCTCATCATTGATATACAATGCTACTCCACCACCTTTACCTTTATTTCTGTCTTTCCTAAACAGCACATACCCTTCAATACCCATACTCCAGTCATGACTACTATTCCACCATGTTTCTGTTATCCCTATAATATCTGGTTTCACTTCCTGCACCAGTAGCTCTAGTTCCTCCATTTTGTTACCTAGGCTCCTCGCATTGGTGTACAAACATCTTAATTTTTGCTGTTTGGCCTTGCTCACATTCTGTACCCAATTAGGCACGGCCATTCTACAGCCAGTATAACCTATTAGACTGGTATCCACACTGCCCTTCCTCCTTATGTCCATTCTCCTACCCACAGCTGTATCCTTTCTTACTTTGTTTTCTTCCCACTCAATGCTAAAATCCGGCGTGGAAATTACTTGGACATCTCCCAGCTATCTCCCCCAAATTCCTAGTTTAAAGCTCTCAAACAGTTGTGCCAGCCTCCATCCTAGAAGTCTATTTCCTTCCCTACTCAGATGAAGTCCATCCCGAGAGAACTGTCCTCCGTCCATGAATGCCTCCCAGTGGCCATACATCCCAAAGCCCTCCTTATAGCACCACTGCCGAAGCCATCTGCTGATAGTCATAATCTTGTCATACCTTTGTTGCCCCTCTCTAGGAACAGGCAGAATCCCACTAAAGATTACCTGAGCCTCGATTTCCTTAAGCGTCTTCCCCAGCCTGGCATAGTCTCCCGTAATACTTTCCAGCGAGAATCTAGCCATATCATTTGTTCCCATATGAAGGATAATTAGGGGATTCTTACCTGCTCCCTTTAGGATGCTTTTCAACCTCAGGTCTACATCCCGTATCTTAGTACCTGGAAGACGGCACACCCTCTATTCTCTGGATCAGCTCTGGTTACAGGCCTGCCTATTCTTCTCAGTAAGGAGTCCCCGATCACATAGACCTGCCTTTTCCTGGTGACTGTGCTATTCTCCAGTCTATCCCCTGTTCCCTCTGGCTGCAAGTTCTTTCCATTCCTATTCTC